GCATACACCCCCTCACAGGTCTGGAACTGCATTTCAGGAATCCATTCGTGTTTCGCGACGGCTTCGCGGACGACACTCCCGAGTGCGAGGGGTCGGCCCCAGTCTTTGGTGTCAAGGGCGCGGAGGAGAGAGGGTGAGATGGAGAGGGAGAGGAGGTTGGGAGGTGCTGATGAGGAGGGGATGTGGCCGGAGAGAAGGGCGGAGTGGAGGCCTCGTTGCCAGGCGGTTATGTTGGCGTTGTAGCCGTCTGGGTTGAGGGTTTGGAGGTGGCGGAAGTCGGAGTAGAGGGCTGCGAGGCGGGCTCTGGTGGATGGGGTTAGCTTCAGCTATTTACCTTGGCGTTATATGGTAGTTGTAGGTAAAGATGGGTGGACGTGTAGTTTTATTTCTTCCTCGAGCTCAAGATGAATACAGAAAGCAAGTAAGAAAGAAAGAGAAAGAAAAAAAAAAGTCTCAGACTCACACAGCACGTTAAAAGGAATAATAATAATAATAATAATAATAAAGAGAAAGAAAGACAACCACTTACTTCCGAAACTGTGGCTCGGTGCTCTGCAAGTATTCCAGGAGCGAGCTCATGTTGTATGAATTACATCTCCCAATGGAGAGGGTCTCCCGATATGGTGGTGTATGTATTGCGACGTTGCCTAGCTCGAGGCCAGGAGATTGTTGTTGTACAGTATTGTGAGGATCTAGCGATAAGGAGCTTGCCTTATCTGAAAGGAAGGATGACGCGACTCGTGTTTTGGCCTGGAATTTAGGGCTGTTTTTCAGGCATGACTACCCCCCCTTGGATTGGCTCGCTAAATGAAGTCTGGTATTGGCTGGTGTTTGGGTAGTTATCTTTGGATGAACAGAATGGCTGAAGTCTGTCTGTTTGTATTTTTAATGCTCTTTTGTGGTTCAACCTCACTTTAAATGTTAAGTGCAGCTTTATGGGTTTATATATTTCTTTTCAGGTATTATAAAAAACCTGAGCCTGGTTTGTCTACTTCATCCTCGCAAGTCTCATGACCAGCATCTCAATTTCAATTTCTCTTATTCTCAACCTCACCCTTTTCTCTCCGCATACCATCCTCACAACAACTTCCTTCCACACATTCCTTCCATTCCTCAAAATTTAACAAGCCCAGTTTACAAAACGTGCAAGTCGGTGGCTTTCATCCCAAATCCCACCCTACTTCTTGCTCACAGCATAGCTATATACATTTTTCTCAAAGACCTCCGGCTGTATACGGAAGAGTTGTCGTATGAGTAATACGGATTACCTGAATCGACAAAATCAAGAATCATGAACAGTAACTTGCGTTCACCGACAAAGAACGAGATTAATAAGGACACTCCAGTAAGAGAAGATGATTTCACCATGGAAGCGAAGGGGCAGTTTTAAAAGCTAATGTATAACATCCATGCCGTTCGTATGCTCTCCCAGCCAGCCCAACAAACCATCTAAACACCCTGAACAAGGTCTTTGGCTCCTCGCATCAAAAAAGGATTCGACCTCCCATGGAGCAGATACAGATTGTACAGTAAAAGTCATCCTTCACACAACCTATAAACTACTACTTGAGTGCGAAATAAGTTTCAAACAGGCCCTTGCATCTTAACATCAAGAAGGTCAGGATATCGGCGGTACATGTATTACAATGACGTCTATATACCAAGCTAGTAACAACAACAACCCCCTTAAACTTCGAAATCAAAGTCTCTATTAATGTATCACTGATATTAACTATATTTCAATCCTCCTACCAGCAAGCAAAGAACCAGTAGTTATCCATCTTCAATTCTATAATTCAATACCCAACCCCATTCAAGAAGCAGGTGAACGCATCGCATCTTCTAGGCAATATCAAAGCAAACACTCGCTCAAGGACTATTAAAAGCTCAACGTAAGCTTACAACCAGTAGTGTCGCTATTCGCTATACATCGAACCTGAAACTTCAATTACAATTACCGATGATTCTGACCATGAAGCCACAATGGATTATTTTCCCGTCCAAAGCTGAATGAATGATGCTCCTTATCCAAAAACCGCTCCATTTCTTTTATTTTTGGGTCAGGAAAATGATCGTGTTTTAAGTTAAAATGGGTGGGTATCCTACTAACGACTTTAAGTAAGTAACCTTACGGCTAAACACCCCACTTTATATATATTCATACTTGTAGGCATCAAAAATCTATTCCGCTTTCCAAAACACGTAAGATACAATCACAGCACAGCATCCGCAACTTCCACCTATATTGGCTTACTAAATAACAAACACCAAAATCAACCAAAAAACCAACGTCTTACACCCCAGGAATTAAGCAAGCAAGCCAGCCCCCTCAGCCCTCTCACTCCTCTTAATTCCATCCGCATGAACTTATGAAGACTTTTACTTTACACATCATATCACACATCAACCCGCACAATACCCCTTAATCCGTGATCCGTCCTTACATCCACAGAAACGAACACAAATACCAAAATCAAACCCCCTCCCCACCAACAACAAACAAACCATGAACCCCAACCCTGAAGATGAAGATTAAAAACTAAGCTGTGACGTGACATAACGTAGCTAAGAGCTTCTCCTCCAGCGTCAACGTTCTAACAATGAATATGTTGATACTGATGATATATTATGATATTGGCATACATACAAAAATACGACATCCTCAAAGAGAGAGTAAATACCCCCTGCTCAGCCCTACACCTGAGCCACCCTCCAACTACAGCAAGCCGCAAGCAAGGAATAGCATATCTATCTATAGCTATCTATTCTCCTCGCCAAACTAACCTCTACCTCTCCCCTCCATCCATCCATGCAAGCACAGAACACCTACCCATCCCACTCCAACATCCTAAGTCCCTATCATCCCAAAATTCTCTCCTCTCCTCTCTCTTCTCTTCTCTCTCTTCCCCTCTCTCGTACCCCAACCACCTCCCCTCCCCACAACCACAAAAACAAACCCCCAATCCCCCACCATCCATACTAAACCCAAACCTGAAACCTGAAACCCTAAAACACTCTACTCCATCTAAACATTTTCTCCCCTACGTCTTCCTACGTGTACACACAGTAACCCCAACCCCAACCCCCAATCCCCAATCCCCAATCCCCAATCCCCAATCCCCACACTCCCCCCGTCCCCCAGCAGC